GAGGTCTCTTGTGTCTCCATACAAATTTTAAGATTTTTTTGTTCTAGTTCTGTGAAAAATGCCATTGGCAATTTGACAGGGATTGCACTGAATCTGTAGATTGCCTTGGTATTACAGTCATTTTGACAATATTGATTTTTCCAATCCAAAAACATGGTATATCTTTCCAGCTGTTTGTGTCATCTTCAATTTCTTTCATCAGCATCTTACAGTTTTCAGAGTACAGGTCTTCTGCCTCCTTAGGTAGGTTTATTCCTAGGTATTTCATTCTTTTTGATGCTAAGGTAAATGGGATTGTTTCCTTAATTTCTCTTTCTGATCTTTCATTGCTAGTGTATAGAAATGCAACAGATTTCTGCGTATTAATTTTGTATCCTGCCACTTTACCGAATTCATTGATGAGCTCTAGTAGTTTTCTGGTAGCATCTTTAGGATTATCTGTGTATACTATCCTGTCATCTGCAAACAGTGACAGTTTTACTTCTTCTTTTCCAATTTGTATTCCTTTTATTTCTTTTTCTTCTCTGATTACTGTGGCTAGGACTTCCAAAACTTTGTTGAATAAAAGGGGCAAGAGTGGACATCCTTGTCTTGTTCCTGATCTTAGAGGAAATGCTTTCAGCTTTTCACCACTGAGTATGATGTTAGCTGTGGGTTTGTCATCTATGGCTTTTCTTATGTTGAGGTACGTTCTCTTTATGCCCACTTTCTGGAGAGTTTTTAATCAGAAACCAGTACTGAATTTTGTCAAAAGCTTGTTCTGCATCTATTTAGATGATCATATGATTTTTATTATTCAATTTGTTAATGTGGTGTATCACACTGATTGATCTGCATATATTGAAGAATCCTTGCATCCCTGGGATAAACCCCACTTGATCATGGTGTATGATCCTTTTAATGTATTGTTGGATTCGGTTTGCTAGTATTTTGTTGAGGATTTTTGCGTCTATGTGCATCAGTGATATTGGCCTGTAATTTTCTTTTGTTGTTGTTGTTGTTGTATCTTTGACTGGTTTTGGTACAGGGTGATGTTGGCCTGAGTTTGGGAGTGTTCCTTCCTCTGCAGTTTTTTGGAATAGTTTCAGAAGGATAGGTTTAAGTCTCCTCTAAATGTTTGATAGAATTCACCCATGAAGCCAGCTGCTTCTGGACTTTTGTTCGTTGGAAGTTTTAAAATCACAGTTTCAATCTCATTACTTGTGATTGGACAGTTCATATTTTCTATTTCTTCCTGGTTCTGTCTTGGAAGATTGTACCTTTCTAAGAATTTGTCCATTTCTTCTAGGTTGTCTATTTTATTAGCATATGGTTGCTTGTAGTAGTCTGTTATCCTTTGTGTTTCTGTGGTGTCAATTGTAACTTTTTTCATTTCTAATTTTATTGATTTGAGTCTGCTCCCTTTTTTTTCTTGATGAGTCTGGCTAAAGGTTTGTCAACTTTGTTTATCTTTTCAAGGAACCAGCTTTTAGCTTCATTGATCTTTGCTGTTTCATTTATTTCTGCTCTGATCTTTATATCTTTCCTTCTACTGCCTTTTGGGTTTGTTTTTTCCTCTTTCTCTAGTTGCTTTATGTGTAAGAATAGGTTGTTTGTGATTTTTCTTGTTTCCTAAGATTGTATTGCTATAAACTTCCCTCTTAGAACTGCTTTTGCTGCATCCCTTAGGTTTTGGATAGTCATGCTTTCATTTTCATTTGTCTCTAGGTATTTTTTCATTTCCTCAGTGATCCACTGGTTGTTTAGTAGCATATTGTTTAAGCTCCATGTGTTTGTGTTTTTTAGTTTTTTTCTTGTAGTTGATTTCTAATCTCATAGTGTTGTGGTCAGAAAAGATACTTGATACAACTTCAATTTTCTTAAATTTACTGAGACTTGCTTTGTGGCCCAGCATATGATTTATCCTGGAGAACATTCCATGTGCACTTGAGAAGAATGTGTATTCTGCTGCGTTTGGATCGAGTGTTCTATAAATATTGGTTAAGTCCCTCTGATTTAATGTGTAAGGCCTGTGTTTCCTTATTGATCTTCTGTCTGGCTGATCTGTCCATTGATGAAAGTGGGGTGTGAAAGTCCCCCACTATTATTGTGTTACTGTTGATTTCTCCTTTTATGGCTGTTAGTATTTGCCTTATATATTGAGGTGCTTCTTTGTTGGGTGCATATATATTTACAATTGTTTTATCTTCTTGGATTGATTCTTGATCATTCTGTAGTGTCCTTCTTTGTTTCTTGTAATAGGCTTTATTTTAAAGTCTCTTTGGTCTGATATGAGTATTGCTACTCTAGGTTTCTTTTGATTTCCATGTGCATGGAATACCTTTTTCCATCCCCTCACTTGCAGTCTATATGTGTCCCTAGATCTGAGGTGGGTCTCTTGTAGACAGAATATATATGGATCTTGTTTTTGTATCCATTCAGCCAGTCTATGTCTTTTGGTTGGAGCATTTAATCCATTTACTTTTAAGGTAATTATCAATATGTGTGTTCTGACTGCCATCTTGTTAATTGTTTTGGATTTGTTTTTGTAGGTCTTTTTCTTCCCTTCCTCTTTTGTTCTCCTCTCTTGTAATTTGATGTCTAACTTTAGTGCTGTGTTTAGATTCCTTTTTCTTTTTTGTGTATCTATTGTTGATTTTCGGTTTGTGGTTACCATGAGGTTTTGATATAGCAGTCTATACACACACACACCCACAGCCACAGCCACAGCCACAGCCACACAAGACTGTTTTCAGTTGCTGGTCTCTTATTTTTAAATGCATTTCCAATATGCTACACTTGTACCTTCTCTTCTCATGATTGCTGATTTTTATATAATATTTGTGTATGGATGATTTCCTACCTTTACCATATGATTGCCTTTACCGGTGAGCTTTTTCATTTGTAATTTTCTTGTTTCTAGTCATGGCCTTTTCTTTTCCATCTAGAGAAGTTCCTTTAGTATTTGTTGTAAAGCTGGTTTGGTGGTGCTGAATTCTCTTAGCTTTTGCTTGTAAAGCTTTTGATTTCTCTGTCAAATCTGAACAAGAGCCTTGGTGGGTAGAGTATTCTTGGTTGAACGTTTTTCCTTTTTGTCACTCTAAAAACATCATGCCATTCCCTTCTGACCTGCAGAGTTTCTGCTGAAAAACCAGCTGATAACCTTATGGGGATTCCCTCGTATATTATTTGTTGCTTTTACCTTGTTGGTTTCAATGCTTTCTCATTGTCTTTTTGTCAGTTTGATTAATATGCGTCTTGGCACGTTCCTCCTTGGGTTTATCCTATATGGGACTCTGTGCTTCCTGGACTTGGGTGGCTGTTTCCTTTCCCATGTTAGGGAAGTTGTTGGCTATTATCTCTTCAAATATTTTCTCAGGCCCTCTTTCTCTCGCATTATAGGAGTCCCAGAAGGAGAAATGTTGGTGCATTTAATGTTGTCCCAGAGGCCTCTGAAACTGTCCTCATTTCTTTTCATTCTTTTTTCTTTGTTCTGTTTTGAAGCAGTGATTTTCACCATTCTGTCTTCCAGCTCACTTATTCATTCTTCTGCCTCATTTATTCTGCTATTGATTCCTTCTAGTGTATTTTTCATTTCAGTTATTGTATTTTTCATCTGTTTTGTTCTTTAAACTTCTAGCTCTTTATTAAACATTTCTTGTATCCTCTTGGTCTGTGCCTCCAATCTTTTTCTGAGATCTTGAATTATTTTTTACTATCATTACTCTGAATTATTTTTCAGGTAGATTGCCTATCTCCACTTCACTTAGTTGTTCTTCTGGGGTTTTATCTTGTTCCTTCGTCTGGCACATATTTCCCTGCTGTCTCATTTCGTCTAACTTTCTGTGTTTGTGGTCTCTGTTCCTCAGGCTGCAGGACTGTAATTCTTCTTGGTTCTGGTGTCTACACCCTGGTGTGTGAATTTGGCCCAGAAGCTTGTGCAGGCTTCTTGGTGGGAGGGACTGGTGCCTGCCCACTGGTGGGTGGAGCTGGGTCTTGTCCCTCTGATGGGCAGGGTCACATCAAGGGGTGTGTTTACAGGTGGCTGTTGGCTCAGGATGACTTTAGGCAGCCTGTCTGCTGATGGGTGGGGCTGTGTTCCCACCCTGTTTGTTGTTTGGTCTGAGGCATTCCGGCATTGGAGCCTGCAGGCTGTTGGGTGGGGCCAGGTCTCAGTGCCAAAATGGCGACCTCCAGGAGAACTCAAGCCAATGAGTATTCCCTGGGGCATGCACCACGATTGTCCTTGCCCCTGCAGTGAGCACAGCCGACCCCCACATCCCCAGGAGACCCTCCAAGACCCACAGGTGGGTCTGGCCCAGGCTCTTATGGAGTCAGTGCTTTGCCCTGGGTCCCAGTTCATGTGAAACCTCTGCATGCCTTCCAAGAGTGGAGTCTGTTTCTCCCAGTCCTGTGGAGCTCCTGCACTTAAGCCCTGCTGGCCTTCAAAGCCAAATGCTCTGGGGGCTCCTCTTCCCAATGCCAGAACCCCAGTCTGGGAAGCCTGCCATGAGGCTCAGAACTCTCACTCCTGTGAGAGAACCTCTGTGATATAATTATTTTCCAGTTTGTGGGTCACCCACCAGTATGGGATTTGATTTTATTGTGAATGTGCCCCTCCTACCATCTCATTGTAGCTTCTTCTTTGTCTTTGGGTGTAGAATATCTTTTTTGCTAGATTCAAGTCTTTTTTTGTTGATGGTTGTTCAGCAGTTAGTTGCGATTTTGGTGTTTTTGTGAGAGAAGGTGAGCTCAAGTCCTCTACTCCATCATCTTATTTCTTGTCCCGTTGGAATCAAGTTTTTTGAAAACTGAGGGTCTTGTAGAAGTTTCTATAAACTTTGTTAAGCACTCTCACCCCCAGGGTACAAGAATGTCAAAGTTGGGTGAGAACTGCCAATTCTATATCCATGTTGTAATGTAATCCTGGGATGACATGTTTGGTTACCCGAAAGTGTCCATTTATAACCCTAATAAAATGAGGTGGCCTGACAGGTCTTTTTTTTTTTTTTTCCTGACAGGTCTTTAAGTCTTCTGTGGAACTTGAAAGCACAGCATCTCCCTGCTTGTAAACTTGGCCACAGTGAGCTGGCTCCAGAAGGCAATATTATTATCCATTATTTGGTATTAAGTGTGCAATAATTTTCCTTTCTTCAAATTATAATCCACAAGTCCTATATTAGCCATCAGTGAAGAGACAAGGTGTCAGCTGTCTGTCTACCCTGGGAAGAAACTCATAGCTTGAGTTTATTCTTCAAAATATGGTGCATGTAGAATCCCCTCCACCTATCCAACATGAAGATGGGTTCTTCAGGTATTAGTGCCCTGAACAAGTTGCCCAGCAACTTCTGAGGTGCTGAGACTCAACCCTCTCCTGACCTGATGGATTTAGAAACAGAAATGGGAACTGGTGCTTTGGCGAGAGAACCTAGCCATATCTCAGGTAAGGGATGGCAGAACATTTCAGTTCTATCACCAACTGAACTGCTGTGTTTGTTTGTTCATTTGTTTATTTATTTATTCAAACATCTTTATTGGAGTATAACTGCTTTACAAAGGTGTGTTAGTTTCTGCTTTATAACAAAGTGAATCGGCTATAAATATACATATATCCCTATATCTCTTCCCTCTTGTGTCTCCCTCCCACCCTCCCTATCCCACCCCTCTACGTGGTCACAAAGCACCGAGCTGATCTCCCTGTGCTATGCGGCTGCTTCCCACTAGCTATCTATTTTACCTTTGGTAGTGTATGTATGTCCATGCTACTCTCTCACTTTGTCCCAGCTTACCCTTTCCCCTCCCCATGTCCTCAAGTCCATTTTCAATGTCTGTGACTTTATTTCTGTCCTGCCCCTAGGTTCTTCAGAATCATTTGTTTTCTTTTTTAGATTCCATATATATATATATATATGTTAGCATACGGAATTTGTTTTTCTCTTTCTGACTTACTTCACTCTGTATTACAGACCCTAGGTCCATCCACCTCACTACAAATACCTCAATTTCATTTCTTTTTATGGCTGAGTAATATTCTATTCTGTATATGTGCCACATCTTCTTTATCCATTCATCTGTTGGTGGACACTTAGGTTGCTTCCATGTCCTGGCTATTGTAAATAGAGCTGCAGTGAACATTGTGATACATGACTCTTTTTGAATTATGGTTTTCTCAGGGAATATGCCCAGTAGTGGGATTGCTGGGTCATATGGTAATTCTATTTTTAGTTTTTTAAGGAACCTGCATACTGTTCTCCATAGTGGCTGTATCAATTTACATTCCCACCAACAGTGCAAGAGGGTTCCCTTTTCTCCACACCCTCTCCAGCATTTATTGTTTTTAGATTTTTTGATGATGGCCATTCTGACTGGTGTGAGATGATATCTCATTGTAGTTTTGATTTGCATTTCTCTAATGATTAGTGATGCTGAGAGCATCCTTTCATGTGTTTGTTGGCAATCTGTGTATCTTCTTCGGAGAACTGTCTATTTAGGTCTTCTGCCCATTTTTGGATTAGGTTTGTTTTTTTCTTACTGAGCTGCATGAGCTGCTTATAAATTTTGGAGATTAATCCTTTGTCAGTTGCTTCATTTGCAAATATTTTCTCCCGTTCTGAGGGTTGTCTTTTCGTCTTGTTGATGGTTTCCTTTGCTGTGCAAGAGCTTTGAAGTTTCATTAGGTCCCATTTGTTTATTTTTGTTTTTATTTCCATTTCTCTAGGAGGTGGGCCAGAAAGGATCTTGCTGTGGTTTATCTCATAGAGTGTTCTGCCTATGTTTTCCTCTAAGAGTTTTATAGTGTCTGGCCTTACATTTAGGTCTTTAATCCATTCTGAGTTTATTTTTGTGTATGGTGTTAGGGAGTGTTCTAATTTCATTCTTTACATGTAGGTGCCCAGTTTTCCCAGCACCTATTGAAAAGGCTGTCTTTTCTCCACTGTATATTCTTGCCTCCTTTATCAAAAATAAGGTGACCATAGGTGTGTGGGTTTATCTCTGGGCTTTCTATCCTGTTCCATTGATGTATAGTTCTGTTTTTGTGCCAGTACCATACTGTCTTGATTACTGCAGCTTTGTAGTATAGTCTGAAGTCTGGGAGCCTGATTCCTCCAGCTCCATTTTTCTTGCTCAAGATTGCTTTGGCTATTCGGGGTCTTTTGTGTTTCCATACAAATTGTGAAATTTTTTGTTCTAGTTCTGTGAAAAATGCCGGTGGTAGATTGATAGGGATTGCATTGAATCTGTAGATTTCTTTGGGTAGTATAGTCATTTTCACAATGTTGATTCTTCCAATCCAGGAATATGGTACATCTCTCCATCTGTTTGTATCATCTTTAATTTCTTTCATCAGTGTCTTATAGTTTTCTGCATACAGGTCTTTTGTCTCCCTAGGTAGGTTTATTCCTAGGTATTTTATTCTTTTTCTTGCAATGCTAAGTGGGCGTGTTTCCTTAATTTCTCTTTTAGATTTTTCATCATTAGTGTATAGGAATGCAAGAGATTTCTGTGTATTAATTGTGTATCCTGCTACTTTACCAAACTCATTGATTAGCTCTAGTAGTTTTCTGGTAGCATCTTTAGGATTCTCTATGTATAGTACAATGTCATCTGCAAACAGTGACAGCTTTACTTCTCTTCCGATTTGGATTCCTTTTATTTCTTCTCTGATTGCTGTGGTTAAAACTTCCAAAACTATGTTGAAATAATAGTGGTGAGAGGGGACAACCTTGTCTTGTTCGTGATCTTAGAGGAAATGGTTTCAGTTTTTCACCATGGAGAACGATCTTGGCTGTGGGTTTTCCATATATGGCTGTTATTATGTTGAGGTAAGTTCCCTCAATGCCTAATAAGTGCTGTGTTGTTTGTTTTTTTTTTTTCTGTACGCGGGCCTCTCACTGCTGTGGCCTCTCCCAATGCGGAGCACAGGCTCCGGACGCGCAGGCTCAGCGGCCATGGCTCACGGGCCCAGCTGCTCCGCGGCATGTGGGATCTTCCCGGACCGGGGCACGAACCCGTGTCCCCTGCGTCGGCAGGCGGACTCTCAAGCACTGCACCACCAGGGAAGCCCAACTGCTGTGTTTTAAAAGAACATTGCCCCTGAGTGTCAGGAGCTCATGGAACAAGGATACCCCAGGGACTCTTTAGTGTGGTCATCTTAGCCAGTCTGACTGCACGCGATCATACATCCACACAGATGCCAGTGTGTCTTCCTAAGCATGTGATGCTTTGAGAATGCATGATATATTTTAAATTCTGGGACCTGAAGGTAAAGGTGTGATAACAGTTGGCATGAAAGGAGTAGAGGTTTTAGGTATTTCTGTGGCCTTAATCCTTAGCATTGTTTATCCACATATGTGAGTAAGTGTGTGGGTGTGTGAGAGGCTTGTATTTTTATTTCCACTTAAACTCAAGTACTTAATTCGGTGATTGAAACTACACAGTAATGCACACATGTGGTCAAAGACTTCAAAGCCTTTTCAATAAAATGATTTAAAACACAGACCCAGAGAAATAAGGGAACATAGCAAAGCAAAAGCGGTTTGTTTGCTAACCACAAAGCCCTTTGGGAGGGTGGACTGCACTTTTTGGGAGCCAGATTGCCCCCAGGGGACCCCCAAAGTATAGATCACTTCAAATGGGCTAAGTTGGAGGGTCTAAGTTGACTTTTTAGAGCCAGGTGCAGAGGGCATCAAAGACGAGAAGTTTCTCTTCCAAGGTCTCATTTCTAGGCTCATTTCTAACCCTCCCTTTTTTTTCAACCTTTTCCCTAAAAGATACACACACATATATACCCTCAACCTACTGTTTAAAAGACATATTTAGCCAACAGAATTTCATAAGATCTGGAATGTGCTGTGAGGGGATTTAAGGGCAGAGCTGAAACAAAGCAGAACTTCAGGACAGTCAGACTGGCTAAGATGACCACGCTAAATAGTCCCTGGGGTATCCTTGTTCCATGAGCTCCTGACCCTCGGGGGCAATGTTCTTTTTAAACTACAACTGCCTCAGAGTTCAGCTCCAGGGTCCCACAGAAGCAGGATCTTTTCCTGTCTGGTGTCCAAGGGCAGCCTCATTTTGAATTCAAGTTGAAATTCTTTGCCAAAATACCCTTGAGGAAAATATTGATTTCTCTCCAGGCTATTGTAGGTGGCAAGTCCCTTATTTCCTTTTCCTATAGTGAGCCCGTTTTCCCCAGCCCCACTGTTTTCCTTTCTAGTTCATATTGTTCTTTTGGCCAGTGTTCTATCTGTTGCCATGAGAGCACACCAGCTCATCCTGCCTCACTCCCCTCATTTTAGTCTAAACTCACAGCATCACCACAAACACATGTAAAGGCTTCACAACGCCCCACCCTAATCATCCCTTTGGGTCTGGAGTCCCCTCCATCTCTGGGCTCACCAGAGATGCTTCAAACACCAAGCAGCCACCATGTTCTCTGGAAATCTTTTTTTTTTTTTTTTTTTTTAACATAAGGCTCTATATTTACTTTTTATCACATTCATATCTACCTCATATTGGGGGTACTTCACAAGGCACAATCACTTGGAAATAGATTGGAATAGGGGATTTCTCTTTGAACAACAGTTGCTGGTGTCCAAAAGCGCACCATTTTTTTTTAAGGAGGTGAACAAATACATAACACTAATGCTACAGAAATCAGGACACAGTCTATGTATATGGAGTCCAATCACACCGCTATGGGGTTTTATAGCTGGAAGGAAACTTAGGTCTAAATTTCCTACCTTTGCACTTAAAAAAAATATTTAGATTCAGAATCAGTGGTGAAATTATTCTTTCCCAAGAACCAGAGACTACAGGGCCTTAATTAAGAAGCCTCGAGGGGCTTCCCTGGTGGCGCAGTGGTTGAGAGTCCGCCTGCCGATGCAGGGGACACGGGTTTGTGCCCCGGTCCGGGAAGATCCCACATGCTGCGGAGCGGCTGGGCCTGTGAGCCATGGCCGCTGAGCCTGCGCGTCCGGAGCCTGTGCTCCGCGATGGGAGAGGCCACAGCAGTTAGAGGCCCGCGTACAGGAAAGAAAGAAAAAAAAAAAAAGAAGCCTTGAGGCAGAAGGTGGGACTTGGAACAACCTTGAAGAGTATGTACAATTTGGATGAAAACTACCATGTTGTGCCTATCTGGTAGAATGTTTGTGGAATTCTGAGGTGTTGGCAGCACATGGAGTACCAGGCCTCCTGCCAACCTTCAAATGCCCTATCAAAGCGTTCCACACCAACCAGCAGATAGATTACTGATAAGAGGAGAACAGACCCAAGAAAAAGCTGGCACTGATTTCAGATGCCTCGTGGGATGTATTTAGGATTATGGCCTCTCAGTTCAAAACTGTTAGTGCAGCAGCAGTATTTTAATACAGTTCCCTGCCTGATTAATTTGTTTTCTAAAGACCTAAGAAAAGCTGAAGGAAATCAGTGATTTATGTGGGCTGACAATTCTACAGTGGACTTCCCTGCATGAGAGTGACTTCTGCTAATTGTAAATCCAAACGGTCACCTTGTCATCTAATATATCATGCAGCCCTGGGGCTGCAACCACATTCACTCTGGGTAGTGTAGGGAGAGGAATATGGTACTGGTTTCATTCAAAAAGGAGCACTGCCTTGGGATGAGGCCACTGGCTTCTCTCTCCCTGTGTAGAAGGAAAGGGTGAGACGCCAGAGGCCCCCAGCCACAGGCTAGAGTGTAGGAACCAGAAGCTGCACCCCTACCAAGACGCCCCTCTCAGCACTTTTCTTGGTACCATTTTTCTTTACAAAAACACACAGTAGCCGGCATGGATTGAATTGTGCCTCCCCCACCCACCCGCCTGCCCCTGACACCCTGCATTCATATGTTGAAGCTCTAACCCCTAGTACTTCAGAATGTGATCTTATTTGGAGATACAGTCTTTAAAGAAGTAAGGAAGTTAAAATAAGGTTCTTAGGGTAGGCTCTGATTCAATAGGAGCGGTATGCTTCGAAAAAGGGGAAATTTGGACACAGAGACAAGACACACAGAAGGAAGACACAGGGAGAAGACGGCCATCAACAAGCCAAGGAGGGAAGCTTCCCTTACAGCCCTCAGAAGGAATCAACCCTGCCAACACCTTGATCTCGGACTTCTAGCTTCCAGAACTGTGAGACAATACACTTCTGTTGTTTATGCCACCCAGTGTGTGATATTTTGTAATGGCAGCCCTAGGAAACAAATACAGTAGCCATTACTGGGATTTAGAAAGTTTTTTTAAAAAAAATAAGGATCCATATTTGAATTTTTTTGTACTTAATCCTATCCTCCACTGGGGGCTACCTCCACTGGGGGCTACCACCAAAGCTACAGTTACCTGGGGGGTGGAGTGGCTGTAAGGGGACAACCTGTCAAAGATTGAAAGTGAAGAAAAGGTTTTTTTCACTCCATATTTTTTGATACTTCATTAAAGTTGCTGCCTAAGCAGCAGAAAGAAGCATTTTCTGGGTTGAATCCCCAAACTCCCATAGGGCCTTTTCAAAGAGGCTCAAGTGGAACTGGCCTTAATGGATGAGAAGGGCACGATGGGATCCTAGGGAAGATTAGCACCTTCATTTCTGTGCCTGATTGTAATTGCAGCCTCTAGTTCAACTTGCAAGGTTGAGGGAGCTGCCTCTGCCGTTTGAAGGATGTGCCCCTGCCAAACGTGCGTGCACAGCAGTGGGAGGCTACCGTAAAGTACACGGAGTGGAGACAGCCCTCTGAGCCTCACACTCGCACTTAATAGCAGCGTTCAATTCAGGGACCTCAAAAGCTCCTTATCCTGGTTGGTCAGAGGCGCCTTCCTACCACTAGGTGGCAGTAGGGTCTGCTGCAGGAACGCAGTCCCAAGCCCAGTTCATAAACTTGAATGTGATAAAGGTTCACCTTAGAATCAAGTTCATTTTTCCTCCGATGTAAAGCAAAGCTAGCTGGCCAGCCATCTTAGGAGGGCCCTTAGGGAAGTGATACAGATTTCCCTTTCATCTAGCACAGAAGAATTATAGGATGCTCAGAGCTGAAGGACCCTGTCAACAGGCTGACTGGGTCTCAGCCCTGTATGTGTGGGGAGCTTTTAAAAATACCATTGCCCTGGTCCACCCTCAGGGATTTTATTTCTAATACACAATATGTCCCCAACAGGTGACTGTATCAGTTAATACATTCGTTTACCTGACACCTTTTTGCGAGGAGTCCACAATAATTTGGAAACATCTACCCAACCTCACAGTGACTAAGCCAGGGAGACCGGAAGTGAATGAAAAAACGGGGCCAAGCGTGGTAAAGAGCGTGTGTGCCCTTTCACATGTCCTCGGTAAGGCGGTGTAGTTGAATAGTGTCCCCTGAAAATTCACGTACACCTGGAACCTTTGCAATGTGATCTTATTCAGAAATATGGTCTTTGCAGATGTAATTAGTTAAGATGAGTTCATCCTGGATTACGGCGGGCCCTAAATCCAGTGACTGGTGTTCTCACAAGAAGAGAGGATACACAGAGGCACAGAGCCACAGGGAGGCAGTGTGAACTGGGGCAGGGATTAAAGTGTTGCAAGTCAAACAATGCTGAGGACCACGTGGACCACCAGACGTTGGAAGCAGCAAGGAAGGATCCTCTCCTAGAGCCTTCACAGGTACCAGGACCCCGCCAACACCTTGACCTCAGATTTCTGGCCTCCAGCCTGGGAGATAAATTTCTGTTGTTTAAGCCTCCCAGCCTGGGGTACTTTGTCACGGCAGCCCTAGGAGCACAGGCAAAGACAAACCAAAGGGAAGCCAGGCCCTCATCTCCACTCCCTAGTCATCCTCATACCACCCATCACACTTGGGGAGGCCTTATTCTTTACTAACTGGACAGTATTTATGCATCCTCCCTTCTACCCAATTTTCCCATTCCTTCTCAGGTCCCAGGAGAGCGAATGGCATGAAGGAGGACAGCCTGGCTCACAAGGTCCACAGGTGTGATTTAAACTTGCTTTTCCTAGAGTTCTCATTGGTTCCTAATCTGGTTCCTTGTGAATTGTTCTTGTGTTTTCTGAAGGCTCAGGAGCCTAGCAAACACTGGCTTCCTATGACGATGGAGAAGATGGAAATCAAAATCAGAAACAAAAGCGGCAAAGTGTGGAGGGAGCGGGGGAAGGAGAGAGAGGCTGGTGTTAGGAGGTAAAGAAAGAAGAATAATGGTGCCACCCAAGGAGGGCCTGGATGAATAGACCCAGCCAAGCGCAAGAGCAGAACTGGCCTTGAGAAAGGTGGAAATCACCTGGCCTGTGAGGCCAGGATTCACCGTAAAGCTAGGACAAAACAGAAAAGAATCTACCATAGCCCTGTATGCTGTCATTTAATTGTTAACTGTGGGCCTAATATAACTGAAAAGCCAGTATGCGTTTATAACTCCAGTTCCCTAAGCTAATCCTTAAACAGCAGTTTAATACTGTTTGTTAAAAAAAAGAAAAAAATCCGACAGTGACCTCCTAATCCGGCCCAGCGGGTTGCCTCATTAACTTGAAGCTGGCATCGCTCTTGTTGCAGGACAGGAATCCCTCTAGGCGCCACGGGGTGCAGGAAGTTGGATCCATTTTTTCAGCTTTTCCACATGTCTTAGAAATATTATTTGGTCAGTGACTTAAGAGGGTCAAGCCTTCCTAGAGATTAAAAAAAAAGGGCCCTATGTTGTTCTTTCTGAAATCTCTTCATTTCTCAACGATGTGGTCATATGGTGAAAGAAAATGGCATTCTGGTGAAATGCCTTACAAGCCCAAAGGCAGCCTTTGCTTCTTCTCTTCCTGTTTCGGTCTCACTAAAATCTGCCAAAAACTCGAGCAGCATCTTTGTTTGGTGGGGACTGTAGCTCTCTGCTGAGAAGCGACAGAAATGCCACTGTTTCAAATAAACATCTTTGGCAGCAGCCAATGCTGGCTCATGCGAGGAGGGATTCGAGAGACCCGATTCTTCACATACGAGTCATTAATGTCCATGCCAGCAGAGTCAAGTCCAGAAAGGCAGCTTCTCTTGCCAAAAAGTTCCACTGAATTTCCTAGGACCCCCGTGACCTAATTTAAAGTGTTTTTCTTCTCTTTTTCGGGCTTTTTTTCATACATAATAGTCTGGTAAGCTGTTAATTCACAATCATTTTCACTTCTCTGCCACCCTTCATCCCACGATGAAAGAGTATTATTAAGCACCGTAAAGACACATTAAATAACAAAACTGTCCAACAACTGCACATCAGAGCACTGATCTCCAATACCGGCACGGCTAAAAAAATGGCTTAACTGTTTCTTTGCCCACAGCTATTTCTGTACTTCAGCCACCTTGCAAGAAACGCATATCGGGATGAAAGGACATATTATTGAGAGGCTGTTAATATGGAAACGTGTAAAAAGAAAAGGGCATAACTTTAAGACCTAAATAACAGAAGTGAGAAAATTGTCATTTTGTGGCAGCCCTCTTTCAAACTTCTATATTATTTAAAAAAGCAATTCCATTATCTCCCACTTACCCATCCATTCTCAGCTAGTCATAAAAAAAGGACACGCTCACCCATGACATTTTGCAGCTGCACTGCCTTTGTTGCTTGTTCCTCTTTCCGTTAACACCAAATTGCATTCTACATCAGGTAAAGGAGTCGCCTGAGGAACTGAAATAATAAGCTGTCGTGATCAGTGCCTTAGAATATCGGACTATTCAAAAAGTGGAATCTAGCCCTATTATGAAGATGGCATGATTGCCCATTTAAAAGCAAGAGCCTGCTTATCTCTGTTGTATTCTTTTAAATACCCTAATCTGTGTCATCAACTCAAAACTCAATGGAAACACCGCTTTGGTCACTGGATACAATCATCTTCAAAAACACGATGATCTGAATATTTGAAAATGAATCAGACAGCCTGAAACTACAGTGTGAAGGTGAATGGCCTTTTCCAAGCAATAACTAGGAACATGGAACCTGAACCAAATGCTTCAATAAGGGTGCTGGAACAATTAGCAGCCTTTTAAGGTAACCTATCCTTTTAATTTCATGTCAAATTATCAGAAAAAGCAGGATAGCTGGCCTAATTTACATGCACATAATGTGGGTGGATCTTTAATAAGGAAATTTCATATGTTATCTGGTGTGCATAAATCACTTGAGTTTAAATCATATTTTACAGTGATATAAACAGTATTGTCCATTCGTATGCAAACAGCGCTAGGGGATTAGTTACAACTACCAATTCTTAAAGGAGAAGAAACATTACAAGAGAAATCTATGTTTGGTTATAACACCCAATATAATGTCACCACAGAAGCCTTCAACTGCCCTTGCAGTAAGGATGGCTACGATTAAGAGGATTCTAATCAGGTCAAGAGGAAGGAGAGACAAAGGTGTAGGCAAGATTGGTTTTCCCTTCTGCTGCTTTTCTTTGCCATCCACTCTTTCACAGTGTGGGGGCAAATGAAAATATTGAAGGGAAGGCAATGAGCTGTATCCTTTAAGATTGGAAGAGCATGCTAAATAAAAATCTCCAGCATGAAAACACACCCTGGAATTACAAGTTAATGGTGCAGAACTTTCTAGATGCATTGCCACAAAAATTAAATACTGTGACGGTTGATGGTAGAATATGTGATGAAACAGTGAAATTTGAAGAAACAGCTATAGCTCTTCTGGAAAAAACCTTATTTCTACAACTCCTTGTAATTTAGAATAAGTCGTGGCCAGTCAGACCTAGAAGGGGTCTTAAGAGGTGACTTAATGATCCATTTCATAGATGAGAAAACTGAGGACCAAAATGGTTGATTAATTCAAGGTCAGTGATTAATGAGAGGCAGAGATAAGCATAGTATCCTGGTGCCTATTTCTAATTAATTCTTGTCTTATTTGAGTCTGCAAGAGTTGAAAGGACTAAGTTAAAGTACTAGAACAATGGTGTGGGGGACCATTTCGGAGGGTCCATGAGGTCAAACTATTTTCCTATTAATACTAAGATGTGATTTACCCTTTCATTCTCATTCCCTCTCATGGGTGCCCAGTTGAATACAGTCGTGTGCCAGAGCATGCCAGACCAATGTAGGTAGAAGCTGATATGAGAATCCAGCTTCTTCAGACGATAGGGACTGCAAAAAAGAAAAATAATGCCACTCTTCTCACTAAGCTTATTTTTGTCCTGGGAAAGTTATTTTCATAAAAATTTATTTAACATTTTAATAGTTACTATTTTATAAATGAATGAGTATTTTAAAATTTTCGCATTTTAAAAATATAAAATATTGATAGATATAACCCACACACACAAAAGCTATTTGGGATCCTCAATTTTTAGAATGTAAAGGGATTCAGAGATTAAAAAGTTTAAGAACTGTGGCACTAAAACTTGAAAAAATAGAAAGGAAACCAAGATGAAAGTGGAATTTTATAAAAACTACTCTCCCTTTTTTTTTTTTTTTTGCGGTACGCGGGCTTCTCACTGTTGTGGCCTCTCCTGTTGCAGAGCACAGGCTCCGGACGCGCAGGCCCAGTGGCCATGGCTCACGGGCCCAGCCGCTCCGCGGCATGTGGGATCTTCCTGGACCGGGGCACGAACCCGCGTCCCCTGCATCGGCAGGTGGACTCTCAACCACTGCGCCACCAGGGAAGCCCTCACTTCTTTTTTGGATCCATCTCTCACCTTCATGAGGAGCATGATTCCAATGAGATGGACACATCAATCAATCAGTAAGAACTACAGTGATACGGTGCTTCATGGTTAACACTACAGTGATAGGGGGCGTTGGTAGGAGCTGGATTTGAATTTTGGCTCTGCCATTTACTAGCTCTGAGAGCTGATCAGTTAAGCCTCAGGTTCCTTATCTGCATGAATGGAGACAAATATAACACACACACCTTCATGAAAGAGCTAGCGTAAGAAGAGCACTGGGATAGTGCCTGCATATGGTAAGCACTCATATTGGCCATTCTAATTATTGTTCAAAATTCTATGCTACAAAAAGGCAACCTACTGAATGGGAGAAGATATTTGCAAATGATATGTCTGATAATGGGTCAATATCCAAAATGTATAAAGAACTCATATAACTCAATGTTTTATATATATAAACAACCTGATTAAAAAACAGGCAGAGGACCTGAACAAACATTTTTCCAAAGAAGACATACAGATGGCCATCACTAAAATGCAAATCAAAACCACAGTGAGATATCACCTCACACCTGTCAGAATGGCTATTATCAAAAAGACAACAAATAATGAGTGTTACGAGGATGTAGAGAAAAGGGAACCCTAGTACACTGTTGGTGGAAATGTAAATTGGTACAGCCACTATGGAAAACAGTATGAAGATTCCTCAAAAAATTAAAAATAGAATTACCATATGATTCAGCAATTCCACTCCTAGGTATATCTCCAGAAAAAAATGAAAACACTAATTCAAAAAGATACACACCCCTATGTTCATTACAGCATCATTTTCAATAGCCAAGTTATGGAAGCAACCTAAATGCCCATCAATAGATGAATGGATAAAGAAGATGTCACACACACACACACACACACACACACAATGGAATATTACTCAGCCATAAAAAAGAATGAGAATTTTGTAATTTTCAACAACATGGACTGACCCGGAGGGTATTATGCTTAGTGACATAAATCAGACAGAGAAAGACAAATATTATATGTTTTCACTTGTATGTGGAATCTAAAAAAATAAAGGAATGAATAAAACAAAACAAAACCAGACTCATAAATACAGAGAACAAATTGTTGGTTCCAGAGGGGAGAGGGGTGGCGAGAGGGGCAAGATAGGTGAAGGGAATTTAGAGTTACACACTACTAAGTATAAAATAAACAAGTTACAAGGATGTATGTAATGTAGAATACAGCCAATATTTATAACTATCAATATATATGGAGTATAATCTATAAAAGTATCAAATTACCTGAAGCTAAAATAATATATTGTAAGTCAACTATACTTCAATAAAAAAACAAAATAAAAGCACAAAATCTACCAAACAGAAACAGACTCGGACATAGAAAACAGACTTGTGGTTGCCAAGGGGGAAGGTGGGTGGGGTAGGCATGGGTTGGGAGCTTGGGATTAGCAGATGCAAACTATTATACAGAGAATGTATAACCAACAAGGTCCTACTGTATAGCACAGAGAACTATATTCAATATCCTATGATAAACCATAATGGTAAAGAATATAAAAAAGAATGTACATATGTATAACCGAATCACTTTGCTGTACAGCAGAAATTAACACAATATTGTAAATCAACTATACGCCAGTAAAATAAAGAAAATGCCCTAAATATTTCACAGCTTATTGTTATTAGCTATAAAATAAGATGAAACTAGATCAGTTTTTCTCCAAGCTTGGTGAGAAAAGTTTCTACTGTCTTGTTACCCTCCTACAGCCCGACTTTCCTCTCCTTTCCTGTCCTCCAATGCTTCTGAATCACAACAAACGCTGTGCTAGGAAGACTGCTCAGCTGACCACACAAGCCAGCTAACCACCACCACTATCTCTTTCAGTTCTAAAGGCCCATGATATTTCTAATTGGTCCTCACATGCTCTCAATACAAGCAACAATTAAATGCTGTGGCTTTTCCCTATGGCTTCTGAGGAAGCATTATCCTTTTCTGAAGTGCTTTGCTTTTCAAATAAAGACATTTAAAAAACCCAATAAAGTTAGACACTAATAAAACCAAATAAATAGCAACATTCTTAGAAATAAAACTGATAGTACCAAGGAGGAACAACCAAAACAATGAATAAGATAACTTTTCTACCAAAGGAATAAGGGATAACAGATAAGGAACAGGCGCCAGCATTGCCGTTTAACTACCTTGTGATTTTACATTCCACCCAGGGGCATCACAGGCCCCCGGCTGGTGCAAATCTGGTTTTTTGTAAAGATACGCGCAAGTGGCATGAGCCCTCAGCTCAGGAAGATGAGATTTCACCTGGTCTTTCAGCTTTTTAAAAATACCGTATATTTTTTCCTAGTTAATTCCCTATCTTCTTGGTTGTGGAGGGGAGCCAACTCTTCTGCAAGGATTTTGCAGTATAACCTACTTTTTTTTTTTTTTTTTGCGGTATGCGCGCCTATCACCCTGCGGCCTCTCCCGTTGTGGAGCACAGACTCCGGATGCGCAGGCTCAGTGGCCATGGCTCATGGGCCCAGCCTCTCCGCAGCATGTGGGATCTTCCCGAACCGGGGCACGAACCCACATCCCCTGCATCGGCAGGCAGACTCTCAACCACTGTGCCACCAGGGAAGCCCATAACCTACTTTTTTTAAAAAGTCAAGGCAGTGTGGGGAGGAGTATTGTTCAGTGCAAAAAGACCGTGTACCAAAACTGGGATATTTACAATGTAAAAACAAAAAAATCCTCTCACAATGGTTGGTGGGGAGGAGGTTGCTGTTTTATACAGGGGATCAAGGAATGCTCATCTGAGAGAGATGTTTGGGCTGAGACCTGAAGGGAGGGAGGAAGCAAGCACGGGACAGCTGAGAAAAAGTGTCCAGATGGAAACAGTAAGGTCCTGAGGCAGAAATGTGCTTGGTCTGTGGGAGGAATGCCCAGGAGGCCAGTGTGACCGGAACAGCGTTTGCGAGCACAGAGTAAGGCAGGAGGTTAGAGAGGCGGGGGGAGACCAGACAGGCATAGGGCCTTGAGGACTTTGGATGTTGTTCTGGGAGAGGTGGGAAGACGCTGCAAGACTTTGGGCTGAGGAGTAGCAATTTGGGGCTGATGTCCTGCTGAGTACACTTGAGGAGATACAGTGCAAGGCTAGGGGATACGGGGAAGCAGGGGATGGGGGCGTGGAGATGGGCTGCTGTAGACACACACCGAGTGGTGTTGATGCCCAAGGTCGAGCCTGCACATGGAGAGTGATGGAGAGTGTTTGCTCAGGCTCGGCAAAGCTTTCAAAAGTAGCAAACTCGGAATCAGCACTTGCCCGTTTCACGAGACTCTGTGCAGGTGGAAGGGGCGTGCAGAATGAGCATGAGATGTACTTTGTAAGGAAAATACTCAGTCTCCTCTTTTGCAGTCCAGACCATCGGGGTATCTTTCTGGGCCTCAGCTAACAATTCAGTTAAGCCTCCACAGACAACTTGAGGCGCACTAAAGGGTGTTCCCATACGTGATCACTCACAATCCTCCAAGCAGCCTTGTGAGGTAGGGAGGGCAGGTGTTAGTTCCCTCCTTTGGCCGATAAGGACACGTAGAGTGTTGCCAGAGCTGCACCAGGTCCTTGCTCAAAACCCGCCAACTCCCCACCTTTAGCAGGAGTTAACATAAATCTTTAAGTCACAGGGTCTGGAGATAAGAAAGGAAGTTATAGGGAGAGACAGACAAGAACATCAGATGGAACCAGCAGGGACCAAGATGGCGCCAAATCTGACCTCCGACAGACCCTGAGTCTCACTATACACTGATTTTACTACATTAGCGAATTCAATGATACACCTACTGGTGGCCACGACCGGAGATTAAGGACCAAAAAAGGATAAAAAGAGAGTGGCACCCCACTCCCTCGAAAAGCCCTGCCCCTTCCCAGGTGGACTAATGCGATTGCCTCTCCACCATTAGCCTCACTCCTCCTCCCTTTGTCTTTACTCTTTAAAATACAATCCTTTTCACCACGTGGGTGAGAAGTTGATCTGTGAACTGAGTTCTCGCTTCTCCATTTTTGGGCCATTGAATCAAGCTTGTGCCGCATTGATCTCAGCTTCATTATTTGGCTACACGAACCTGAATGGAAAAAGAACGTTTCCCAGCTGAGGCAGAGGGCCTTAGCCAAGCTAGGGCCTGGGCACAGTCCATATGACTTAATTCGGTAACGAGAAGTTTCCGCCCAGATCACACAGCTGGTGACAACTGAGGGAGGGAGTGAGTCAAGATCATTTGGCACTGAATTCAGGTTCTCCTCATAACCTGGTTCTGTGCCTCTTAGGCTACCAATTTATCAAGGGAGTAAGCCCAAGGCGAAGAAGATTCACACACAAGTGGATACAGTTGAGTCAAAGAAGACATAACTCGGGCTTCCCTGGTGGCGCAGTGGTCGAGAGTCTGCCTGCTAATGCAGGGGACACAGGTTCGAGCCCTGGTCTGGGAGGATCCCACATGCCGCGGAGCAACTAAGCCCGTGAGCCACAACTACTGAGCCTGCGCGTCTGGAGCCTGTGCTCCGCAACAAGAGAGGCCACAATAGTGAGAGGCCCGCGCACCGCGATGAAGAGCGGCCCCCACTTGCCACAACTAGAGAAAGCCCTTGCACAGAAACGAAGACCCAACACAGCCCAAAATAAATAAATAAATAAATAAAAGAAGACATAACTCTGTGGGCAGTGCACTGAGGCGCCCCACTTGGCTTCAACAGTAGGGGATTTGTTCTCATCACATACAGTGATTTAGGATTTTATGCTAGATACTCTTTTGTGTGCTGTTCTACAGGAACTGTGGGATGACATGGCTTGT